CATAACTGGAGGCCTTTATTGCCAATTCTAAACGATTTCGGTATCCTTTTCGGGTATTACCAAACTCCTTTAGAGAAGATAGGCATGTCAAACAACAATTGGTACGTTTCAACTTATGCATTATGTAACGTAAATAAAACCCAGTTGGATTCGTTAAGTAAATTCAAACTTTTTTTAGCATCCACAATTTGCCACCGGCATACGAATCACAAATAGACCGAGAACATGCTGTCAAATATAACTACGAATTCTATCACTATGTATTCGCGATTGCATCAATGTATGTCGCGATGTTGTTGACCAATTGGTAAGTATTTGTCTCGAACAAAATAATTCTCCTTCACAGAATTCCATACAAATTATCTTCTCTATTATTTAGGAATACAATTAATATGACCGGCAAAGAAAAGTTGGTGGCAATAGGACATAGCTATACTATTTCGTGGATAAAGGTTATATCGAGCTGGATATGTATATTGATTTATTGTTGGACATTACTAGCTCCTGTGTTCCTGCCACATAGGTTTATAGTAAGTTTTCGTTTTGTTTATAAGGTGGATTTTTAATGTCTGCTATTTGTTTGATTGTTTAATAATTAACCATTCATCATATTATTTTAAAAACAGAGGTATTATCATATCACGTCAGAAATATCGGAGAAGTCGGAGAAAATTTAACGTATAACTCGAATTATACATGGCAAATACAATAAAATTCATAACATACTTCTTCATAACCATGTATATTCAACGCACTTGCCATGGTTTTTTTTTCTTGTCAGAATAGATGTAAATATTAATTAGATTTTTCCAACACAAATTTTTATTTCAGAATATACAGCTAATTTATCGACATGCCACATATCCATCTACTTTATACAATTTAGTATATTATGAAGTAAAAGTAATCATATACTGTATATGAATAAAAAATAAGGAATATATTTATAGACCTTTTTTTAGTGGCAATGTATTATACCTAAGGCTTTATTTATGCCTCGGAAGTAATCTCTATTTAAAAATAAACTTTCTAGAAATTGGTTTGATATAATGATTTACTATTTTTTTATTAAGCAGCTTATTTTATTTTATGAATCTTGTGAAAAAAAAATTAATTAATTTGCCAAACTTATTTTTTCAAATCTTGTATACTATTCAATACATGAAAACTTGAAAAGTAATTTTTTTATAGATTGATATTCTTTCTTTATTGATTTGTATATTACAAGATATATATTATAAAAGAAACAATATCTTTTATATATTAATACAGTGCAATGGATTATATGCTAACTTGCCTACAGTAACTATATAACTAATACTAAAAAAAAAATTTTAAACAATATATTCTATTAGATAGTATCAAATAATTAAAAATATCTACTCAGTATTAAAGAAAATAAAATTAAATAATATTGATATTTAATTATAAATAAATTTGAAATAATTTTTTTTTTCTCTACTCAATCTGCTAGTAATACATTTATTAATCCTTTATGGGAAGCCGTAATACAATATACATATGATACTATACTAAAG